TTGGGGGATTTGGGGGATTTGGGGGAACTGGGGGGATTTGGGGGTAGAGGGGGTTTTGGGAATTCAGGGGGGATTTGGGGACACAGCGGGGATTGGGGACACTGGGAGGATTTGGGGACATTGTGGGGTTTGGAGGCACTGGGGGGGATTAGGGTTGGGAATTTGGGGTTGGGGGCTCGGAATCAGGAATTGGGGATTTCGGGGCTGGGAATTTGGGGCTGGGGGTTGGGAATCAGGAATTGGGAATCAGGAGTGAGTCGGGATCAGCTTTGGGGCTGCAGGAGGGGGTGGCGGTGGCAGCGGGGCCCCCTGTCCCTGTCCCTGTCCCTGTCCCTGTCGCTGTCCCTGTCCCCAAGGCTCCGGGTGACCTTTCCCGCGGTCCCCGCGCCGTTCCTGGGTTTTATTCCCTTTTTTTTTAAATTATTTTTTAATCTTTCCTTGCTCGCGCTGCGGGGATTTGATTTTCCTTTCGCAGTGCGGGGGGAGCACCGAGCCCCAGACCCCAGACCCCTGTCCCTGTCCCCAAACCCCGGGAGCTGTCCCCAAACCCCTGTCCCTTGTCCCCAGCTGCGAGCAGGACAGCAGGACAGGCTGCAGGGTGACAAAAAAACCCCAAAAATCTCATTTTCGACCCCAAAACCCCGCAGAGAGCGGCGGGGACCCGGCGGGACTTTGTCCCCTTGGTGCCAGCCCCTCCCGGGGGACAAAGCCGGCCCAGAATTCCCAAATAAATGTCCCCGTCCTCCCCTATAAACGTCCCCATTTCCCTGTCCTGGAGGAAGATCTGATCAGCTTTTAAATGTCAGACGTGAAGTGAAGTTTGTCATAAAAGCGCGTGTAAAAACAGAAGGGAAATAATGCGGGAAAAGCAAATCCTGCCCTGGGGCAGGCGGAGCCGAGCGGGGCCGGGAGCGCAGCCCCCTCAAAGGGCCGCGCCCACCCCGGCCCGGGGGACCCCAAATCTTGGGGAGGAACCAAATCCTGGGGGAGAAATCCCCAATTCCTGCGGCGAAACCCCCAACCCCGGATCAGAACCCCCAGCTGGGGATCAGAACCCAAATTCCGGGGTCAGAACCCCCATTTGGGGATCAGAACCCAAATTCCGGGGTCAGAACCCATATTCCGGGATCAGAACACCAATTTTGGGATCAGAACCCCCATTTGGGGATCAGAACCCCCATTTTGGGATCAGAACCC